ATGCTTTTTAAAGCATCTAGTTCAGGATACACATGACGAAGTTCAGTGTGCGGAGTGCAGAAGTGCCATTGTTAATTTGAAGTGGCTGGGATATCTTGAGTGGAGTCAAAATCTTGCTGTCAACTTTCTTGGTGTAGTTTGTTCTGATTTAGTTTCAGAAATGATAGAAATATCGTGTCTAATGTTTCTGTATTTTATGTCTATTTGCACTTCTTATATCTCGAAAAGTTTCGAGTTTTGATTCTCTTTTCTCTTTTCCTTAGGTAACTTGCTCAGAAATATTACTCATTTCACATATAATGAGTTGAGATCAGCTACAGCTAATTTCGATTCAAGCAATAAGATAGGAAGAGGAGGTTTTGGAATAGTTTATAAGGTAATCAGGTTCTGTATCTACTCTTATTATGGTGCTTAATAGGACTTTAAAAGTTCAATACGAATATTCTTATTCGTAATGAAACTGCTAATGAGCTCAATTTCTTCATAATTGCTTCTGTGGATATGCATGTACTTTGATTTTGTCTTCATATGTCAAGTTGGATGATATTCTGCTAAAAGTCCTGAGTGTTTCAAGAGAAAATAAGAAAAATTACGTGTTCTCATCCGGAACTACATCTATATTCTGGCAAAATGTCCAGATTATTCTTCAGCTAAGTATATCCTCATGATTTGATTCATTAAGGTCTCTTCATTTGTTTTCTGACCTCGTACTTAGTTGGCACTCAAATGTGATTCAATTAATGTAATGTATGCAATCTGGTATTGTTATAGCATTTATGTACTGACTTACATTCTAGAGCATAAGTTAATACAACAAGTCACTGTTGTTTTGTTTAGCAATCTTAGAATGTCACTTGAATTGTGTTGGTTTCAGCCAAGAGATGAATTACACTATTTTGTACTGGGGAGCAATAAATGTAAAGAAGAGTGCTTTCCTTGATAAGTAACTAGTGCACACTTAAGAAGTCATTTTGGTTAAGTGCACGGGTGATTCTCCATGTGTAATTACTATAATTGGATTATTCAATTGCACTGTCTTTTAGTAACTATGTTGTGGTTGATAGGGAACCCTAAGAAATGGAGTGCAAGTGGCTGTAAAGAAACTTTCTGCAACCTCAAAGCAGGGACTTGGTGAATTTGTAGCTGAGATCAATACTATAGCAACTGTCAGACATCAGAACCTTGTTCAATTAATTGGTTTCTGTGTTGAAGGCACAGACAGGATTTTGGTCTACGAATATTTAGAAAACAGCAGCCTGGATCGTGCATTATTAGGTATTTCAAAGAAAGCGAGAAGTTTGGCTGAGAAACTGTTATCACGTGCAACATATTCTAACTTTTCCTTCTTTGTCAGGCTCCGGCACAAAAGATGCAAAAATAAAACTTGATTGGCAGAAAAGATCTGCTATTTGCCTGGGTACTGCAAGGGGTCTAGCTTTTCTGCATGAAGAATCCGTGCAGCATATTGTTCATAGGGACATTAAAGCTAGTAATATACTTCTTGATAAGGATTATAACCCAAAAATTGGAGACTTTGGGTTGGCCAAACTTTTCCCAGACGACATCACTCACATCAGCACAAGAATAGCAGGAACTACGTGAGTTCGTTTGTCTTCTCATCTTCGATTCCACTTTAGGAATACTCTTGTTCTCACATCTTTCCGAAACTTGATCACCCTCATACCTCTGAAACCAATTACAAATCTGATTGGTCTGAATGGACATACTATTTCCTCTGCAAATCACAGTTTGACTAATTGCTTCCGCTCTAGGTTAATTAAGCAGGAATTTCAGAGCAAGTACGTTTTTGGACTACTTGAGGAAACCTAAAAGCAATGGAAAAGAAGCATTTTCTATTCTGAATGTGTCAAGTATCTGCGGAGCTACTTGAAAAAATATTTTGTGAAGCAGTCAGTATTATTCTAAGTGCAGTCAGACACCTCATCATTTCTGAAATAGACAGTCAGGACAAACAAGCGTTTTTGAGGAGACAACTGTCTCTTGTGATAGTCAAGGAATTTCACATGCCAGTGGAGGGTCTTTTAGACACTGGAGAATTACTTCCTTGCCGAAAGAGATCACTTCCAACAGTTATTTTCCCATAAATTGTCAATAAAAGTGATGTTTCGGTGACACGGTTTACAGGATTTTTGTTATGACAAGCTTATTATCCGTGGTGGAGACTTTCATTGGATCTTTTTAAAGTTTAGGCATTTCCTCAATTGGTCGTGTGGAAATGAGCTTAGAAGTTCTTTCTTCCTTTTTTTCCTTTCCTTTTTTTTTATTGAACTTTTTTTTTTGGGATTATTTTTTTATAATAACATGCAAATTAAAATTATAGGGTAAAGTATAATGTGTGCCCTATTTGTAGGTAATTATACTAATGATTTGTTGCCTCTGCTCCATGCAGTGGTTACTTAGCTCCAGAATATGCATTTGGTGGCCAGCTGACTCCGAAAGCTGATGTATATAGTTTTGGGATCGTTGTTCTAGAAATAATAAGTGGTAGAAACAGTGCGAAGGCAGATTGGAGAGGCTCAGAGAAGTTCCTCCTGGAACAGGTGCGCCAGTGGTCCTTTTTCGGTAAAGCTTTGCTAGATTTAACATATTTTCTACATTGGAACAATGGATTAGTAGGTCCCGCTTTTGCTTTTCCCTTCTTCATCATGTTGTGCTTTTCTACCTCTTGGGTAGCCTGGAAGCTAATGTACCTGCAAAAGCTGAAGCAAGAGAAACCAGCAGGGCGTTCGGTTTTTGGTAGAAACAGAGAACCAATTAGAAAATGCGTTAAATGCCCTTGTTTTTTCAGTTTTTCTAACAACTCAAAGTACTGTTCCAAAAAATCATACCAAAAATATTTCCAGCAGGGTGTTAGCTGGAGAACATACTGTTTAGGAAAAATTCCACTGAATTTGAAAGCTGGGAAAATTGTTCTGAACCCACTGGTCTAGTTTCCTAGTAAACAAACTTGTGGAGTATTGATCCGTCTAATTCTGAATGGAAAATTTTGCTTCATAGGCATGGGAACTCTACGAAAAGGGAGCACTCTTGGAACTGGTGGACCCAGATTTGGAAGAGTTCCCTGAAGATGAAGTCATCAGGTACATAAAAGTAGCCTTTTTCTGCACCCAAGCAGCGGCAAGTCGACGTCCGTTAATGAGTCAGGTGGTCAACATGCTGTCAAAAAACATACGGATAAATGAGAAGGAACTAACAGCGCCCGGTTTCTACCAAGATTCAGGAGGCTCAAGTGGGATGCCTTCATCCACTAAAAAGTCATCCACAGACTCGAGCTATCAGATGAGTTCAGTTCCTGTCACAATCACTCACGTGACCCCTAGATGAAGAGGATTATCATTTTTTTACTCATTGGTCTTCAAGGATGGTGTGTGAGAATCGTTCAATTTGAAGGAACTTTTGAATTTTGTCAATTTCCTTCGTGGGTTTCATTGGCTCTCTCTCCCCCGTTCTCTCCTGCCTCCTTCTGTGGCCAGTGCTTATACTCTTAGGTAGAGGCATTAATTTTGTATATTTGAGCGAATCGCGATGTTCTGCTGAAGCAGAGGCTGGGATGTTTACATACATAGAAGATATTGGTTGCAGTGATTCAATACATCAGTTCTCAGAGAGTTTTCTGGGATTTGTTTTGTAGATCCTGTTTTGGGATGATTTTGTTTCACTCTTCAACTCGCCCTCGTCTCGGAAGTCCTTTTACATCTGAGTCGCTGCAGAAAGGATGGAAGGTGAAAAATGACAGTATTTTGCTGGCAAACCAGTGTCTTGTCAATTTGGAAAGTCACACATTCCTGGACTAAATTCATTTACCATCCTGGAATTGGTGAGGCCTTCTGGGGTTGGATGGTATCTTGTTAAAATATTTGGTATGAAGGAATGACAAATGGAATGGAGGAAGAGAAAGATCGAAATATTAATTGAAGGGAATGAGAATATATTTTTAACATGCTTGGTATGTGACTGAAAATTCTCGTGTGGAATAAACTATAGTCTGTTTATATCTCAACAAGATTGTAAAAAGAGGCCTTTTCTTCTATTCTACTCCATCGTTTTTTATTTGTACAAAAAAACCAATAAGTAATTTCACCTTTCCCTGTAATTATTAAAACGGTTTTTTTTTTTGTTTTCGTTCGAAAAAACTACTTTTAAAGTATTACAAACGCATTTTCTTGAACAGACGTCATTCTCTATTGAACATTTAAATACATTTTCCTTGTGTCATATGTTCTGTCGTGTCGTGTTGAGAAGGAAACGAAGCATTCCCATCCCCCAGTCTGCACTAGGAAAACCAAGCTTCCGACCGGAGGGTGTAAAAAAGTGGGACCCAGAATTGCAGAGTTCATTCTTAACCCCATCTTCTTGTCCACCAAAGACGCCCTCGATACATGTCTCTGTATAGGCTAGCAGGATGCACCAAGCGAAGATGCATACCACCTCTGGCGGAACCACAGTTCCGTCGCGCGTGATCATTATCTTTCCTTTTCTTTTCCCTCCCGGCCTGCTCGTCAAATCAATAAAGGAATAGCGGGATTTCCAAGAAACCGAAAGGAGGAGGAATGATAGGTTTAATTAAACTGTTGATGCAGGTTAAGTCCAAAGAATATCCAGTCACCTTAGTCATTTGATCAGTAAGTTACCAACCGCAAATTTGAAGATGGAGTCAGCAACAGTGAATGTCGAACCCCCCAAAAAGTGCAGCATTCTACACCATGGAAAGTTTTTCTCTTCGTTGTCTAACGGAAAAGTAGTTGCGGAAACTATTCTAGTGATCCATCAAATTGTTGTTGCCTCACATCCATCTTTGTCACTGGCCATCTTAAGAAGAAAATCTCGGTCAGTGAGATTTTAGTTTGCGCAGGCAGTTGTGCTATCCCTCTACGTCCCATATACACATCCTGCAGATCTATTTTCCCAGAGTTTTCTTCACTTCGACACATGCAGCTCCTTCTTAGTGGCAAATGATTCACTTGAATGACACAAAGGAGTAAGTAGTAATGTTGTCCATGATTATTGATCAGTATATTGTTCATACAAAGGACCTCTTAAGGGGAACACACAATATACAGAGAACTTGACTTTAAACATCTCTTTTAAACGGAAAATTTTGACAACTGCTAGCCTCCCGTTTGTGTTCATCAAATATGCTTCTTAAGGAAATCGAGAATTAGCTGATTCACCTCGTCAGGCGATTGCTCCTGGATAAAATGCGTTCCCTCTGGCGAAAATACAATCTCTAGCTGGGGAACAAATTCTTTGACCTTTCCGCTCCTGATGTACTCTTCGATGCCCGGAAATTTGAGCACATAATCCTTCTCTCCCATGACCAACAGTGCTGGAACTTTAACAATAACATCTGTTATTCCCAGGTCCTCCTTAAACGACCTGCAATATCAGCCAGATTGTTAAACATAATCTATCTGCAGAATGCAGGCTATCTGAAGTCCGTATAAACAGCAACGATAGCTTATTCACCCAGGCCAACTCCGTCAGGAGATCAGCGAGTGCTCTCAAAGAGCGATGAACAGAGACCATGATTCCACGCAACATAAATAGTTGGAGAGTCTCAGCATGTTAACCTCAGACACTGACTCGTATCATATCACGATAGTCTACCTTCATCTTTTGCGAAGGTGAGAACAAAGGACTGAAGCTCCGAGGTGAGTATACAGCACAAAAAATATCAGAAGGTTCACCTTCTCCATTTACTAAAACAATCACAGTACAAAAAACATGTGGGCCGAAATTCATCACGTGACATATAATGTGATGCCCTAGAGACATGGGCATTACTTGCATATTGCATCTCAGATCAATTGTCATAAGCCTATCTCAGATGCTTTATCAGGATGAGTTTCTAGGGATCATGATCATCGATAGAGCTATAATCTTGTTGGTATAGCAGAATGGGATTCATCAGCAGGGAGTCTACAATACCAAGCATAGAGTGTGAGACCGTTACCTGTAAGGAACTTGCAATGCAGTGCGAAACCCTGATTTCCGGTACAGAGAACCGTATTCTTCAAGATCTCCTTCTGTAAACCAAGGGGGAAGAGGGGTAGATGGATCAACTATATCCATAATCTCCTGGTTCTCTGCAGCTATTGGTATTTCACTTCTCGAAAAGAGTATGTAAACATTGCGCACAACTGTTTTGGCATCGAGGCGCCCAAAATCAGCTTCTGCCCGTCCAGGTTCCTAAAATAGAAAGTTCAAAGATATCAAATCAAAAGAAGGTGATTATCACTTGACCATGTAATGGTCTTGAGAACGAGAGTCACAGAGGTGGCATACCTGCCATCTTGAAATGTAAAAGCCCTCAGGTAGATGCTCATGATATTTAACAGGATGACTGGGAGGGCGGTACGGAATTCCTAGGGTCACGATTCCTTGGACCCTCTCTTGGTGGAGGAGGGTAAACAAGTAAGCGGGAAAAACTCCGAAGTCTTTAGCTACAAGAAACACCTGCATTGACAGTGCCCAAACCTTGTTAAAAGAAGGCTTCACTCTTAGTACGTAACCACGGAACTACTTGTCATAGATGCAATAATAGCAGCAAAAACTTCTATAGTGAATGTCAGGACTGATTAAACTAGAAGGAGCAACTCCATCAGATTACTGGGAAGGTAAAATTATGCATATATGTGTGAAGTAGATAAGGCTTCAAACGTGTCCCACATTATATTTGTGCTGGAGGAACTATGAGAGGTTTTTCTTTCCATAACCAAGACAACCACAGATTCTGTGAGTTCCCAGTGAATCCCTGCTATAGAACTTTTTTTTTGTTGCTAAAACCGCTGCTATAGAACTTACCACTGCATGTGATATACCGTCTCTATGAAGGCTTTGTTCACTAGTTCTCATCTTGAAGGGATATGCGAGGTGAAAAGTATCGAAAGCAACTAACACTTAAAAAAGATTCTTTTTCCTTTTATGACAACAAGACCCACCTTTCCCATCTTAGGTGGGTAAATCATAGATTTATGAAGTACCAGCTAATGTCTGAGAGATCAGGTGAGACTTGCACCAAGATCCACAACAAATAGCCAAGCTATTCAAGTATTGCGCGTTATTCTGTCCACCGTGTCAGCATTATCAAACAAAAAGAGCACAAGACTTTTCCACTTATGAACTATGATCGATTCTCTCTAACCCTTTAGTAACATCTCCATTCTCTCAGCAACCACACATACCACACATAGCAAAGGAAATCGGGAAATGGTAGAATCATCACCTTATCAATGCCTAGGGCATCAAGCAAGGCAGCAAGATCCTTAATAAGGTCACCGAAGGAGGCCTTTTCGGGTTCAAGCGGCGGATCAGACAACCCATAGCCTCTGAAATCAGGCGCTAGCGCGCGAAACCCAGCTTCCGCCACAGCCACCATCTGGTACCGCCACGAGTACCATATCTCCGGAAATCCATGCAAGAACACGACTACATGGGGACCTAAAAACACAATTCACAAAGCCAAGAACTCACTCACAAATCCAGTAATCAGGCACTGTAGTTGGAACTACCAAAATTTATGGTCAACCCATGAAAGAATTGTCAAGATCACCACAGGGCAGCATGGTTTTCGATACATTAAGACATTTCAAGACTCTCCAACATGTATGGTTGATAGTCTTTGAAGTTTCACAAAAAAAAAAAACCCAATAACTCAAAGTGCCCAGATAAAAAGGGTAGCTTGATCATATGCTTAAACAAAAAAGGTTATAACAGGTGTGATATGTATGAGTGAAACGATAGAAGTTTGAGCAGAGTGAACTTACCAGAGCCAATTTCGGCAACGTGGTGCTTGAGGCCTTGGATTTCAATGAACTTGTGTTGAATTTGATCCATTTCAAGTTTTGATTTTTTTGGGCAGAGAGAGAGAGAGAGAGAGTTTCAGAGTCTCGGCTTCAGGCGGAGGAGCAGGTGGAGGAGTAGGGTCGAAGATGATGATGATGTTTTGGTTCTTCTATGTTGGAAAGCCAGAAAAATTTGATGCCAATTTGGACCTCGGTACTTACAATTATTTACTTATATTTTGGCTTTTCGTATTACCATATATTTTCTTAATCTTACACGCAATCATTGGATTTTACAAATTATTCTTTACAACTTCGTAATCTTTCCCTTACCATTTCAAATGCAATACTATTTGACTACCAACTTCCATCGACAACGAGAAATGCTCATTGCATGCAATCGAAGAGGTCCGCGCACTTTCGTCGTGAGAATACTGAGCCTCAAAAGGAGTAGAGACAATCTTGAAAGGCTAGAAAAATAAAACGTCTTTTTAATATATATGTTTTTGGGTCACCTGTATTCTTCCATGGAGTTTTGACTATACGGGGGTTTCAATAAATGAATTTTTTTTTTCTTTTACTTATAAAGAACTCTAAAAAGTGATAGGATAATGTATATGGAAATCGTAATGAAAATAGTGCAATGCTAAATACAAACCAAGTGTTCAACAATTCACTAAATATCTTGTATGTATATAAATCTTTTACTTTAGAAGAATTATATCTCCGTAGAATAACAAAATGTATGGAAGACAGAAAGATTGAACGAAAATCATGTTAAATCCCAGCAATTTTCAATTGTTGGAGCAACGCAATGATTTCTTGGACTAACATGTTGTTCAGGGGCAAGAAATCTTGCTTGAAGTTGCATTTCAGACACTTCAGTTTGCATATTGCCAGCGCTACAAAACAGAATTCTGTGCTGGTAGATTATTTACAGAGTCGATAACTGTCAAATGCGGCTAGTAAGAAGAAAGTGATTACAAACTTGCCCACTCATTCTCACTAGGAATCAACGATGCTGAATTTTCTTTTCCTGAAGCTCCAAGATTTCCTGGGTTCTAGGACAGGTTACAACAGTGTAGTTAGCCATCAAATCGATTTGCTTACATAATCTCCCATGAGCTGTACTAGTATAGCTTGAAGCATTGTGACGACTGCCCCTGTATTGAGCATCAACGATGCTTTTGTTGAAGCTTTCACACCCAATGTTCAAGGAAATGTCACATGAAGTGAGACTTGCTCCATTGCCCTTGAGGCCTTTGGAACAACTAATAAGCTTTCTTATCAATCGCCTTCGGCTCTTCCGTCACCAACTCAAAATTGCATATTCTAGTTGCCATGCAGCCTTTTAAACCAACTTTTTAAGTTCTAGTACTTTTTATGCATCCTGAAAGTTTTCATAAAAATACCTCAAGCAAATTTACGTTCTGCTTCAAGCATCAGATTTGCTAGTGTTTGCACCAACTGCCTCTGCTTGTCCAACAAGAAAGTTCACTACTTACAATTTTCAGGATTTGTGATCCCAGATCTTCTGCAAACATACCTAATAAGCCGGTGTCATGTCTTTGTATGTTTCTTGTCCCATCACTTACGGAATCCCTAGATGAAGAGGAGTATGATATGAGATAGACATTTGTTTTGTATATCCGAGCAAATCGCGATGTTCCGATGAAGCAGAGGATGACATGTTTATATACATAGAAGATATTGATAGCAGTGATTCAATACAACATCAGTTCTCGCATATTTTTAAGGAATTTATTTAGGATATCCTTGTTTTGGGATGCTATTGTTTCCCTCTTCGACTCGCCTCGTCTCGGAAGTCCTTCTACATCTGAGTTGCTGCAGAAAGGATCGAAGGTGAAAAATGACGTATTTTGCTGGCAAGATTGTTGATGCAGGTTGAGTCCAAGAGTATCCAGTCACCTTAGTAACTTGTTCAGTATGTCAACAACTGCAAAATTGAAGATGCAGACTGCAACGGTGAATCTCAAAGCCCTCCAAAAGTGAAGCATTCTACTCAGTGGATAGTTTTTCTCTTCGTTGGCGGACGGAAAAAGTGGTTGCGGAAACTATTCTAGCGATTCATAGGATTGTTATGGCCTCAAATCCACCTTTGTCACTTGCCATCTTAAGAACAAAATCTCTGTCAGTGAGATTTTTGTTCGCGCAGGCACTCATGCTATCCCTCTATGTCCCAAACACACATCCTGCAGATCTGTTTCCCAGAGTTTTCTTCACTTCGACACATGCAGCTTCTTCACAGTAGCAAATGATTCACTTGGATGACACCAAGAAGCGAATAGAAATGTGTTCTGTGATTATTGAGAAGTATTTTGTTCTTACAAAGGACCTCGTGAGGTAAATACACATAATTTGATTCTTAAACATCTCTTTTTTACTGGCGAATGTTGACCACGGCTAGCCTTCCCTAGTGTTCATCAAATGTGCTTCTTAAGAAAATCGAGAATTAGCTGATTCACCTCGTCGGGGGATTGCTCCTGGATAAAATGTGTTCCCTCTGGCGAAAATACAATCTCTAGCTGGGGAACAAATTCTTTGACCTTTCCGCTCCTGATGTACTCTTCGATGCCTGGAAATTTGAGCGCATAATCCTTTCCTCCCATGACCAGCAGTGCTGGAACTTTAATGATAAAATCAGTTATACCCAGACCCTCCTTAGACGACCTGCATTATCAGCCAAATTATTAAACATTATTTACTTGCAGAATGCGGGACTATCTGAAGTCCATATAAATAGCAACCATAGCTTATTCACCCCTGCAATCTCCATCGGGAGATCAACTAGTTTTGCCTCCTTATCCTACAAGAGCGATGAATAGAAATCCCACACTCAATATGAAGAGGTGGAGAGTCTTGGTATGTTAACATCGGACACTGACTAGTATCATATCACAATAGTCTACTTTCATCTTTTGCAAAGGCGATGACAAAGGACTAAAGCTCCGAGGTGAGTACACAGCACAAAAACTATCAAAAGGTTCACCTTTTCCATTTACTGAGTAAACATAAACAATTACAGTGCATAACCATGTGGGGCTGAACTTAATCATGTGACAGACGTAATATGATGCCCTAGAGCCATAGGCAGTACTTGCTTATTCCATCTCAGATCAATTGTCATAAGCTTAGTTTCTAGGGATCATGATCACCAATAGAGCTATAAACTTGTTAGTGAAGCAGTACGGGATTCATCAGCAGGCAGTCTACAATACCAAGCATAGAGTGTGAGACCGTTACCTGTACGGAACTTGCAATGCAGTGCGAAACCCTGATTTCCGGTACAGAGAACCGTATTCTTCAAGATCTCCTTCTGTAAACCAAGAGGGAAGAGGGGTAGATGGATCGACTATATCCATAATCTCCTGGTTTGCTGCTGCTATTGGTAATTCACTTCTTGAAAAGAGTATGTAAATATTGCGCACAACTGTTTTGGCATCGAGGCGCCCAAAATCAGCTTCTGCCCGTCCACGTTCCTAAGATAGAAAGTTCAAAGATATCAAATTGAAATGTAATGGTCTTGAGAACGAGAGTTACAGAGGCGGCATGCCTGCATTCTTGAAATGTAAAAGCCTCCAGGGAGATGCTCATGATAATTGGTGGGATGACTGGGAGGGCGGTGTGGAAATCCTAGGGTCACGACTCCTTGGACTCTCTCTTGGTGGAGGAGGGAAAACATACAAGCAGGAAAAACTCCGAAGTCTTTAGCTACAAGAAACACCTGCATTGACAATGCCCAAACCTTGTTAAAAGAAGGCTTCACTCTTAGTACATAACCACATAACCACTTGTGCACAGATGCAATAACAGCAGCAAAACTTCTATAGTAATTGTCAGGACTGATTAAACTAGAAGGAGCAACTTCATCAGATTACTCTGAAGGTCAAATTATGCATATATGTGCAAAGTAGATGAGGCTTCAAATGTGTTCCATATTATATCTGTGCTCAATGAACTATTAGAGGTTTTCTCTTTTCGTAACCAAAACAACGGCAGACTCTGTGTGAGTTCCCAGTGAACCCCCGCCATAGAACTTATTACTGCATTTGATAGGCAGTCTCTACAAAGGCTTTGGTCACTAAAACTTATCTTGAAGGAATACGCGAGGTGAATAAGTATTGAAAGCAACTAACACTCGAATAGATTCTTCTTTCCCTTTTTTGAGAACAAGACCCACCTTAGGTGGGTAAACCATAGATCCATGAGGTACCAACTAACCTCCAAGAGATCAGGTGAGACTTACACGAAGAGCCACAAGAATTAGCCCAATCTATTTCAAAATTTGCGTGTTATTCTGTCTACCGCGTTAGCATTATCAAACAAAAAGAGCACAAGCAATTTCTAGTTATGAACTGGGATCGGTTCCCTCTATCCCTTCTAAATCATGCCCATTTTCTCAGCAACCACGCATAGCAAAGAAAATCCGGAAAATCATAGAATCATCACCTTATCAATGCCTAGGGCATCAAGCAATGCACGAAGATCCTTAATAAGGTCACCAAACGACGCCTTTTCGGGTTCAAGCGGTGGATCAGACAACCCGTAGCCTCTGAAATCAGGCGCCAGCGCGCGAAACCCAGCTTCTGTCACGGCCACCATCTGGTGCCGCCATGAGTACCATATCTCCGGAAATCCGTGCAAGAACACGACTACATTGGGACCTAAAAACACAATTCACAAAGCCTACAACTCGCTCATTAATCCAGTAATCAGTCCCTGTAGTTGGAACTACTGAAATTTATGGTCAACCCATAGCATTGTCAAGATTACCATAGGATGGCATGTGTTTGATACTTTTAAACACTTCAGAACTCTCCAACATGTATGGCTGATGGCCTTGGAGCAAAAAACCCAATAACTCAAAGTGCCCAGATAAAGAAGGTAGCTTGATTACGCTTAAAAAAGAGAGGCTTTAACAGGTGTGTCATGTATGAATGAGACGATAGAAGTTTGAGCAGAGTGAACTTACCAGAGCCGATCTCGGCAACGTGGAGCTTGAGGTCTTGGACTTCAATGAATTTGTGTTGAATTTGATCCATTTCAGAGAGAGAGAGAGAGAGAGAGTGAGAGCGAGTGTTTTGCAGTTTCAGCTTTAAGCGAAGGTGTTCAGTCGAAGATGCTGTTTTAGTTCTTCTATGTGAGAAAGTCAGAAAAATTTGATGCTAAATTTGGACTTGAGTAGTTATACATATTAACATATATCTGGACTTTAGTACTTACACATATTAATATATACTTTTTTGTCAAATTGTATTGTTCTATTTTGACTATATGTGGGTATCAAATTTATTTTATCTTATCTTTACAGACGAGATTCCATTTATTTATTGCTTATCAAAAATTAAAAAACGTGATTATGTTAACGAGTCTTTGAGTCACTTTTTTCGCTCCCTTACAATCTCGCGGCCTCTCTCAATCATTATGAGAATTATATGAAAATTGCAATGAAAATACTACAACACTGAATACAAACTGAGTGTTTAACCATTGGCACTGTAACTTTGTATGCGTGTAAACCGTATACTTCAAAGACCTATTGTTTCTCTATAGATTAACAAAATGTATGCGAAAGATTGATTAGAAATCATGTAAATCCATCAACTTTGAATGGTTGGGGCAATGCACTGATTCCTTAACATATTGTCCAGGGGCAAGAATTCTTGCTTGAAGTTGCATTTTAGACGCTTCAATTTGTATATCGCCAGCATTGCGTGAAGTGTCTAAAATGCAACTTTCGAGTTCTGTGCTGGTATATTATGGACATAGTTGGCAAGAATTCCTAAGCATCTAAAGTTGCTCCTCCTCCCATGTGATTATACTCATTGCTTTAGCCCTAACCCTGTAGACCATTGTCCTAGACAGTTTCAAAACATTCTCAAACTCCAATATTTTCTTCATTGAAGCATTTGGCCGTATAGGATTATTTCTCAACCTATCATAATATTTGCTTGCTAGCCATTTAATGTTTACTTGATGAACATACATAAGGAGCTCTATTACATGTATGTACAGGATTAAAGGTTTTAACTCGTAAAGTATGTTCCCTTTGTACTTTCGAAGCATAAATGAGTTAATCACGGTTGTTAGAATATATTGCCCTCAATTTATTTGGTTCCATTCTTAATGAACCTCACATGTCCTCATACTTTATGGCAGAGTTCCCCACGGCCTCTCCAAACTCCTTAACATTACTAAAGCACATCCCCAATTTGAAGACGAGATTTTCCTTAACAACTTCAGCATAGAATTCGGGATGTGTATACTCATTTTGCCTTCTAATATTCAGGAAATCTGCATTGTCAGATAAGATATCTACGTACTTGCTGCTATTTTCGACCTTCATATCTCTCTCCATCAAACCATCATCATCGATACCTTCATTTCTGACATTTCTTCTGTAGATCGATAGTGGCAAACCAATATTCTTCTAAGCATCCCTATTATTAGACATGGAATACTTTGCTTCTTCACGTCCCTCATTTGGTGCAAAATGGAAGCAAAAATAGCGTCAATATATTTCTATGCAATACACGACAAAATATGCACTAGAAAAAACAAAACCAAAACAGTAAAACAAATTGCAAAAGTGGGACTATGATCAACACCAAGGAACCACAATGGCAGCAAATTCAATTAGAAAATGCAGTCATGAATACCACTTGCAATTAGAAAATACAACTCATGTGTGTCAATTCACACAAAAGGGGACAGCATACAAAATAAAACCCACTAAACAAGCTAAAGCGCAACCCTAAAAAAGAATCATTGCCATCGGTATGATATTCGACGTTGTCCACTCCTTGTCACCATGTTGCTTTAACAAGCAACACTCACCTTACCTCTAGACGAAGGAAGGATCAACTGGACTCTTAATTGGGAAATTTGAGGATTTGGAATTAGGGTTTTAATTACTAGAATTTGAGAGATTTCAGAACCAAATTGGGAAATTTGGTTTTTGCTCAGAAAATTTAGGACGAACATGCCCTTGGCATTGGGGGAGAAAAGTGACTCCTAAAACACATGCTTGCAAGCCGGTGAAGATATGAGCCGCCGGTGAGCTAGGGGTGAACTGAGACTAAGTCGCTCACTTCATAGCTTATTTGAAATAAATACCACTTTAGAGACTCTTTTCAAAGAACGGCCAGTCCATGGGGCCTTTTGAAATATTTCCTGGAAAAAAACATACGGTTAAACGAGAAGCATATGACAGCACCTGGTTTCTACCAAAATTCAGGAGGGTTAAGTGGGATGCCTTCAGCTACCGGGCCTAGGATGCCGGGAAGATCGTAGATGGGTTTGCGAAATCGGTAAGAGCTACCTCGATTTTGCAGGTGGAACCCCGAGGATGCTGAGGAAGCTCTGAACTACTTTCGTGCACAAACTGAACTAAGCTTAAACTTTGGAATTTGATAGCTTGTCTTTGATAAGATGTCTCACAAATCGTGATGAACCACTGTGGGATGTGCATCCTCTCATGGCTGAATGCGAAGCTCTGTCGGGCCAATATCAAGATATTCAAGTAGTCCATTGTCTGAGAGAGGCCAACCAAGTAGTAGATTGGATCGTTAAAGCCCATCGAATTGAAGTTATTCCGTGTAATTGGCTGTCTAATCCTCCTCATATTTTATGCGACCCCTGATGTACTGAGATCTGTTTGCCTTGTGACCCTAAAAAATGAGTTGAGTTCCTGTCAAGATCACTTCCGTGACCCCTAGATGAAGAGTATAATCTTTTCCCTATTGGTCTCCAAGGATGGTGGATGAGATGATCATTCATTTCGAAGGAACTTTTGAATCATGTCAATTTCCTTCGTGGGTCTCTCCGGTCTCTCTCCCCACCCTTCTCTCCTGCCTCCTTCTGTGGCCAGTGTCATATTATTAGGTAGAGGCATTGGTTTTGTATATCTGAGCAAATAGGCAAATGTTTCGATGAAGCAGAGGTTGAGATGTTTATACACATAGAAGATATTGATTGCAGTGGTTTAATACAGCATCAGCTCTCGCAGATTTTTCTAGGAATTGTTCTGGAAATACTTGTTTTGGGATGATTTTAATTCACTCTTATACTTGCCCACGTCTCAGGAGTCCTTTTACATCTGAGTCGCTGCAGAAAGGATCGAAGGTTAGAAATGACGTATTTTGCTGGCAAGATTGTTGATGCAGGTTGAGTCCAAGAGTGTCCAGTCCCCTTAGTAACTTGTTCAGTATGTTAACAACTGAAAAAGTGAAGATGCAGAATGCAATAGTGAATCTCAAAGCCCCCAAAAAGTGAAGCATTCTACTCCGTGGATGGTTCTTTTCTTCTTTGGCGGACGGAAAAAGTGGTTGCGGAAACTATTCTAGTGATTCATAAGATTGCTATTGCCTCAAATTCATCTTTGTCACTTGCCATCTCAAGAAGAAAATCTCTGTCAGTGAGATTTTTGTTCGCACAGGCACTCATGCTACCCCTCTATGTCCCAAACACATCCTGCAGATCTGTTTTCCCAGAGTTTTCTTCACTTCGACGCATGCAGATTCTTCGTAGTGGCAAATAATTCACTTGAATGACGCAAAAAAGCAAATAGTGATCGGGTCCATGATTATTGAGAAGTATTTCGTGCTTACAAAAAGACCTCTTGAGCAGAAATATGCAATATGCAGAGAATTTGATTCATGAACATCTCTTTTTAACGGCGAATTTTGACAATCTATAGCCTTCCGTTAGTGTTTATCAAATATGCCTCTTAAGGAAATCAAGAATTAGCTGATTCACCTCGTCTGGCGATTGCTCCCGGATAAAATGTGTTCCCTCTGGAGAGAATACAACCTCTAGCTGGGGAACAAATTCTTTGAGCTTTCCGCTCCTGATGTACTCTTCCATGCCTGCAAATTTGAACACATAATCCTTCTCTCCCATGACCAAGAGTGCTGGGACTTTAATGATATAATCCGTTATTCCATGGTCCTCCTTAAACGACCTGCAATATCAGCCAGATTGTTAAACATGATTTACTTGTAAAATGCAGGGCTATCTGAAGTCCATATAAACAGCAACGATAGCTTATTCACCCAGGCAATCTCCGTCCAGAGATCAATTACAGTTGCCTCCTTTATTCTAAAAGAGCGATGAACAGAGACCCGAATTCAACTCAATGTGAAAAGCCGGAGAGTCTCAGTATGTTAACATCAGACACTTACTCGTATCCTATCACAATAGTCTGCTTTTCATCTTTTGCAGAGGCCATAACAAAGGACCAAAGCTCCGAGGTAAGAACACAGCACAAAAAACTGTCAAAAGGTTCAACTTTTACATTTAATTGGTAATATAAACAATCACTGAACCATAAACAAGTGGGCCTGAACTTATCGTGTGAGCCATGGGCAGTACTTGCAAATCGCATCTCAGATCAAACGTCATAAGCTCGTAGAGCTATTTACTCGATCGCAAACATTCTTGGAACACATCTAACAGAGGGATTGAAGGGCAGAGGCCTTTGGTGTCCCCACCAGTCAAGAATTGGGGCCTCCCAATCACTAGTCAATATGCTTTTCTCTCGTGCCTTTCTTCGTTCAAGCTCATGAGCTTATTATCCTAGGTCTTACCATGGCAAGTCTTTGTGAAATAACTCCGATGAGCCTATCTGAGATCAGTTGCTTTATTAGGATAAGTTTCTAGGGATCAAAGGGATCACGACAACAATAGAGCTGTAATCCGGTAAGTGTAGTAATATGGGATTCATCGGCAGGCAGTCTACAATACCAAGCATAGAGCATGAGACCATTACCTATACGGAACTTTCAATGCAGTGTGAAACCCTGATTTCCGGTACAGAGAACCGTACTCTTCGAGATCTCCTTCAGTAAACCAAGGGGGAAGAGGGGTAGATGGATTGACTATATCCATAATCTCCTGGTTCTCTGCGGCTATTGGTATTTCACTTCTCGAAAAGAGTATGTATATATTACGCACAACTGTTTTAACATCTAGGCGCCCAAAATCAGCTTCTGCACGTCCAGGTACCTAAAATAGAAAGTTCAAAGACATCAGACATCAAATCAAAAGCAAATGATTGTTGCTTTCCCATTAACGGTCTTGAGTTACAGTTACAGAGGCGGCGTACCTGCCATCTCGAAACATAAAAGCCTTCAGGGAGATGCTCATGATATGTAAGGGGATAACTGGGAGAGCGGTGCGGAATTCCTAGGCTCACGACTCCTCGGACCCTCTCTTGGTGGAGGAGGGAAAACAAGTAAGCGGGGACAGCTCCGAAGTCTTTACCTACAAGAAACACCTGCATTGACAATGCTCAAACCTTGTTAAAAGAAGGCTTCACTCTTAATACAAAAGCACAGAACTACTTGTCCACAGATACAATATAGCAGCAAGACTTAATGTGATTAATATCCCACGTGTTGTTCTGTCTACCTCGTCAGCATCATCAAACAAAAAGAGAACAAGAATTTTCCACCTATGAACTGCGATCAGTTCTCTCTATCCCTTCTGATTCATCTCCATTTTTCTCAGCAACCATTTTCTCAGCAACTACGCAGAGCAAAGAAAATCGGGAAAATCATAGAATCATTACCTTATCAATGCCTAGGGCATCAAGCAATGCACCAAGATCCTTAAGAAGGTCAGCAAAGGAGGCCTTTTCGGGTTCAAGCGGCGGATCGGACAACCCGTAGCCTCTGAAATCAGGCGCTAGCGCGCGAAACCCAGCTTCCGCCACAGCCACCATCTGGTGCCGCCATGAGTACCATATCTCCGGAAACCCGTGCAAGAACACGACTGCATTGGGACCTGAAAACGCAATTCCCAAAGGGCCGAAGCCAAAGAGCTCACTCATAAATCCAGTAATCAAGCACTGTAGTTGGAACAACTAAAATTCATGTTCAACCCACAGAAGAGTGGCCAAGATTAACACAGGATGTCTTGGTTTTTGATACATTAAAACGTTACAAATCTCTCCAGCATGTGTGGTTGATAGCCTGAAAGTGCCCAGACCAAAAGGGTAGCTTGATTATGCTTGAAAAAAGAGGCTTTTAACAGGTGGGTCGTATATGGGCGAGACCTTAGAAGTTTGAGCAGAGTGAACTTACCAGAGCCGATATCGGCAACGTGGAGCTTGAGGCCTTGGACATCAATGAATTTGTGTTGAATTTGATCCATTTGAAATTTCGATTTTTTGGGCAGAGAGAGAGAGAGAGAGAGAGAGTTGGAGTTTTACAGTTTCGGCTTCAGGCAGAGGAGAAGTACAGTCCAAGCTGCTGTTTTTGGGTTCTTCCATTTGATAATACTGCTTTTATTCTTTTGTTCCCAAAAATAAAAAAAAACAGAAATTTATTTGATAAATTTTTTGTTCCCGACACAAATTTATTTTCAAAATTAGTTTTGGAACAGAATCAAGAAGCAGAACAAAGTTACTTCTTGATTCTAGGAACAAGAATTAGAAATAGAAGAGAATTTTTTTTTTCTTCTTTCCTTCCTGTCTGTGGCCGGTTCTTCTTCTTTCCTGACCGGCGACCGGCCATAAGCCAGGGGCAGTGAGGGCGAGGGCGAGGGCCCCGATGCCCTCGTCGGCCCTGGCCTGTGGCCAATCGCCAGCCAACAGGCCATGGCCGGCGACCCAGCGACGGCCAAGAAGGAAAGGAAGAAAAAAAGAAAAGAAAAAAAAAGAAATATTAAAAAATTAAAAAATATTATTAATAAAAAGAAATTTTGTGCGGTTACCAAACGCATTTCTGCTCTTTTTTCATTCCAGGAATAAAAATTTTGGATCGTTACTAAACTCATTCAAATGCTTAGAAATTGTTTCCGGGAATAAAATAAAAAAAAATCATTTCTGAACAAAAATTATTTTCGAGAATAGAATGGTTATCAAACGGACCCTAAAATGCCAACCGGAAGTCTCGTTTGACCCTTTGTCCTCCTTTTGCATCCAGCAACTCCACGTCCATTCGATAACTGCATATGATGAACAGTATGATAAACTTGATCCGGAAGGAAAGAAAGGAAAGGTTTGAATAATGTTGTCCACCTCATGTCGCCGCCCATGACAGTTACACAGGCCAGTAAAAACTAAACCGTCAATTTCTAACTTGATTTCATTTTCACACAAAGTTTCTGACTTTGAATCATAACTGTTCTATATAGTTTTGACTATATCAAGGTTTCGAATTTATCTTATCTTATCTTATCTTTATTGATGATAATGATACTCCATTTTTTTTCATTACCCTCTCCGCTCCCTCACAATCTCGCTCTGTCGCTCTCAATCATTACTACAAATTTAAGGAAATTGGAAGGAAAATACTCTTGAATACAAACGGAGTGTTTAACAATTCGCACTATATCTTATATGCGTATAAACCATTTTACTTCATAGAACAATTGTTTCTCCATTAATTAACAGAATGCACGGGAAATAGAAGGTTGATTGAAAATCATGTACATAAAGCGATTTTGAATTGTTGGAGCAATGCACTGGTTCCTAGGACCAACATGAATTAAATTAAAATTAGTAATTTTGAATACAAGTAACTTCAAAAGGCGTTGGTAGCTACGAAAATAAAATGTTGGTAGATTATAATAGTAATTCGCAAACTTTGAAGTATAAAGAAATGTCGGGACTTTTCAAATCGAAACAAGATAAAATGCTGGTAAATGACCGGTATCTTAATGTGACGATTGTTGGTACACCGGCCAAATTAAGGTTGATAATTCCTTAGAAGTTAGTAACTTTCAAGGCATTAGTAAGCCGCAAAAAATAAATGTCGAAAGATTATTTATAGTTTGCGGTAATATTCGATAAATATAAAGGAATGTTGGCATTTAGAAAGATAAAAATTTGGTAAATGACTAAAAATCTATAGCAAGGAGGCTGGCGGTGACCAAAGGCTTCCCTCTAGGCCTTCCTCTCCGGTCCATCGTCTTCTCTAATTGTGTCGGTAACGCCTTCGAGTTTGTTGGTGTGAGTTTCAGGTCTCGAGTCCGGGAGCGTTTAGGGATGCAAAACAATGACTTGACATGCCGGCCACGGTCTGCAAGTTCGGACCCTCATTTGAGAAGTAAGGTCCACTTTGGACCCTCTTTTGGTATCTTAGAGTGAGAAATGATGATTGTATTCAATCAAAACAAGGTTGGCAATTTTTAGTAAAAATCGGTACTTTCATATATGTTGGCAATCCAAAATATATATGTTGGTAAATTATTAAAGTAACTGGTGATTTCGGGTTCAAGCGGCGGATCGGACAACCCGTACCATCTCAACGACTGCTGGTACTTCAGTAATTAAGGGTGGTAATTTCCTTCGGATGCATTTGGTAAAAGACAAGAATAAATTGTTGGTAAGTCATAAAAACAAAAGTTGGTAGATCATTAAACAGTTGGTAGCTTTTCCAAGTATAAATGAATGTTGGTACTTGTCAAAACTTGTTGATGAACTAGTAAGGCTTGACTAATTTTTTGACAGATCCTCAGATTCATCAACCACACCAAGAGAGAACTAATCTTCCGATGACAGCAAAAGGCTTATCTAATCTTTTTTCTTGCAGATGAATTCTGGTGGCAGTCCACCACCATCTTCACTAGTTTTCACTTTTCAGCATTTTGAGTACCGCTGATTATGCAGTTCGTGCATATGTTGTGTGACCAATGCGATGACCATCCCTTCTCAATCATCGCAAATGCGCCATAAGCATGCAACACGAAGCAAGCAAGAGGCGTGTTTCTTCAGTGCAGGATCGATGAGCTATCTTCACAGCTCAAGTGGACCGGAAAAATTCAATGGAAAGTAGAGTTTAACCATCATTTGAATGCGAAAGTGCAACCGTTTTCCAGAGGATATACTATTCCACCTTATATGACCTTGCTTTACATAAAAGATAGCTCCGTTTCGCCAGTTATATCTTGTTTTTTTCCGGTAGAGAGTGACAGTACGATAGACATTAGACAATTTCTTGTGAGAAGGGTGCTTGCCAGACAAGAAATCAAAACAATGGGATGCTCCGACAACCTAAGACGAACTCGTGTAATGCCGGATTAGAGAGTACATAAACTCAATTAAGATGAATAATTGACAGGCCACGATCAATCAATCACTACCAAAATCTAAAACAATTATCATTTCGATACACAACATCATATCAGGTTATCGTCTGGTAATTTGAGCAGTACAGAAACACTCGACCTTGTGATGGGTGAACCTCAGAGAACACGTCTACTCCTAGCTTCCAAGTCCCTCGCGGGATGGAGCCCGAGATATCACCACGCTGCTGATAATCTCTTGGCACGTAAACATAGAGATGGATCAGAAGGGGAAAAAATTACCTATAAGATGTTCTTTGGAAATTGGTCCTCATGAATGAACTATATCTTCAAATATCTCGATGATGCACGAGAATAAGACAGTGTACAAACTAAGCTATGACCCGCCAATGTCAAGAACCGTAATAACGAAACTTCTTGTCCCGTTCTCTCGTTTCAGAATATTTTTCTCCTCGATGTAAAGGCATTCTTCAGAGAATAGGCTACAATTTGAGGGCAGGTCGGTGGCAGAAATGATCTCTGAAAAATTTCTGAAGTCCTGGTCAAGCTAATATGCACATTGCCTTTTTGCCTTGACATATGTATATTATTAGAAAACCCATCGACTGTACAACCAAATCATTCTTTCGGAACCAAACGCTCGGCATCTCCTAGTTCCACCTCTCCTCCTTGCCATTTCTTTTCATCCTGAAAGAGCATCTCAATTTGCTCCAAAGATTTTCCTTTCGTTTCTGGGACACATTTATGCACAAAAATGACGGACAGCGCAGAAATAACCGCAAAGACAAAAAACGTACCTCCAACTGTAATCAACCGCGAAACCGAGAGGAAAGACATAGTAACAGCCCCACTACTGACCCTACTTCCCACTGCTCCAAGAGCCGATGCTTGTGCTCGAAGTCTTAAAGGGAAAATTTCAGAGGACACAACCCAACAAACAGGTCCAATTCCAACTGAAAAGAAAGCCACGTTGCCACAAACCCATAAGATTGCTAACAGAATTCCAAGTTTTCCATTCCCCATGAAGGCTAGAGTGAGGCTCAATCCAAGCAGGCACATGGTCATTCCGATCGTGCTCACATATAGCAAAGGCTTCCTACCCACTTTATCAATAAGGACTATAGCTATCAAGATTAACATTGTTTTCGTGAACCCTACAGCAACAGTTGCAGCCAAAAGCTGAGTGTTGTCCTTTATCCCGGCTTCTTTAAATATCGTGGGGCTGTAATAGACAGTCGCATCAATTCCCGTGATCTGTTGGAAGCATTGTATCCCACAACCAGTGATGAGCATCCGTCGAACGCCCGGTGTAGGGTTTAACAATTCGTGCCAAATGGCTTTGGAATCATACTTATCAGCATTAACAAACCTGGCAGCTTGTTGGATTTCTGACAGCCTCATTTCCACTTCCCTTTCGCTCTCATTTGTTTTAGCTAGCACTAGCCTCGCTTCATCAATCCTGTTCCGCATCACCAACCACCTTGGAGACTCAGGGATCACAAAAAGGGCAAACCCAATGAATACTGAGGGAAGGATTCCAACTCCAAGCATGACCCTCCAGCTTATATGCGCGGGCAACCCTGAAAAGGCATAGTTCGAAATGTAACCAAGAAGAATCCCGAGATTAACGCAGATCTCGGGGAAAGAGGTCAAGCGTCCCCTGGCAATGGTGGGCGATATCTCAGCGATATAAACAGGAGCAATCATGACCCCGAAACCGATCCCAATTCCTGCCAACAGTCTTCCTATCATTAAAACAGTGAAAGAGGGAGCGAGCGACATTATCGCGGCGCCCGATTGGAAGACGACTGCGGCTAAGGCAATGGTCCATTTTCTGCCGATGGCATCCGATGTTTTCCCACCAGCTAAACTACCCAGGAGAGAAATGATGCTTAGAATCCCGACAAGGACTTCTTGTTGCACTTCTGTTAGATTCAGATCTTCCTTCATGAATAGAATTGCTCCACTCATCACACCCACATCTGCAGATGATGAGTGAACAACATAAAACCAGGAATTTCAAACTACCTAATGAAACGAAAACAATGTATCCCGAGATAACAAACAATAAATCAACTTTTCCTCAACTAGAATCAAGTTAAACCAAATAAAAAAGAAGAAGCAAGAAAGCAGTCATTTTCAACCGACGAGGAACCCACAGACTAAAAAACACCCAGTCATTAAGCCCAAAATCGA